GGGGGGGTAACTTGATAGGATTAGGGCTGGTCAATATTCTGAGGGTAAATTTCCATAACTATTTAAAAAAATTTAGTGACAGAAAATAATTTTTTTTGTTTGTTTGTTTGTGTTGTTTAGTGCATTAAATAGTGGGATTTGTGTTGTTGATTGATGGATTAAAGTGTACATGCTTTTCCCTAGACCTTTACTACTCCCTCCATTTTTTTTTCACAGTCATTATGTCATAATTTGTTATTTTTTATTTATTGTAATTTTACTAAAATTAATGATTTATTAATTTTTTTCACCATTTTTACCCTTGATAATTAATACATATTTACTGAACAATGTGTGTATTTATTTTTAATGTCTACTTATTTTTTCTTCAACTACCCATATAAAGTTAATGTGCATTTATAAGAGCAATATGTTACCAACAAAATACTATAAAAAAACAAAAAAAAGGGACAACTATTTACGAGACTCTTTAACTTCATTTTTAACTTTTATTAGAAAATATGCAACTCTTTGTAATGATATTAACTTTTCGTAATATTCACAGTAAACTTTTGTGTTGATATTCACGTTTTGTGATGATATTCACTTTGCTAGCATATTCACGTTAATATATTTATTTTTCGTAAAAATATTCACGTTAAATTTTTCCTAATCACATCAAATTGTTTCATTAGCCAATTTCCTATCTATGACTATTACCAATTGATAAAAACAAATTAAAAACAGAATACATAATTAAAACATAAGAAAGAAAATACTAAATTTTTAAATAACAAATAGAAACATAAACTGGGCAAATATGTAGTACTTGAGCATTTAAAATAAAAATCTTAATTAATCTAAATATTGAAGTACATCTTGTACCAATTTTGATAGAAGCAATATAACCATTAATTCATGGACAGGTATAATTAAATACAGTAAGTTACAGTTCACGTGTAATCAATGTATTAATAATTAATGGAGTAGATTGTAGTTTAACAGTCTCAAAAATGTAAAAAAAAATAAAGGGTAAAATAGGAAAGTAAGTAAGAAGTATTTTTGAAAACTAAAATATCAATGATTTCCTTAAGTGTCGCGCAAATCTTTAAGTTTAAACGACTATGAAAAAAAAACGGAAGGAGTATCATAAAACAACCAAACAATGGTCTACCTGAAGTGCTTTTCTAGAGCATTTTAGTGTATTTATCATATATTCTTTTGTATTTGTTACTCATTTGTCGTCAATCAGATTTACCTGTAGTTGCTTTACCTTTTCCTTTCTGCAAACCAATTTAACAGTAGAAAATCTGACCTTTGAGAAGTGCAAAATCCCATACCACTGTTTTTGACCAAAGAATGCTGGTGATCACAGGATGTCCAGTTGGATTTCTGCTGAAACTTGCTATAAAAAATTTTAAACTCAACACTCTAAGCTGTAAAGGATTAGATTCGGTTGCTTTTGAGTACCACAAGACACGTGAAATTGTTGGGATGAGAATGTGGAAAGTTGACATGTTGCCTAATTTAAGATATGCACATGTCATATGCAGATGTCTTCCAATGTTTTATTTATCAAAACTCTTAATTGTGATTGTATTCTTAATCAGTTGTTTGTTTTTTGTGTATTCATTTACACTACTAATTAGGCTTGCTAATCCATGATTGATTGATTTTTTGTCCTATCACAATTATCTCTCAATCTACCAGGCAATCCAAATTAGTATCTAAGTGTATAGTTTACCTAAATTAGTATCCAAGTTGATTTATTTCAGTTATTGCAAATAGAGTACTATTTAGATTTATCAATGGTCTTGGCCTTGGCTTGACTGTTGATTTAGCTCCACAATCTAATTGTGATCTCATCTTCTCCCATTGAATTGTTGCAGGCTGACAGTGGTAAACATGGTGATTCTGATTCTTCAGTTTTGAGGTCTAGTGAAGAAGAAATGGACGACGACGGCTTCTTGGGTCGTGTTCCAGATTCATCCTGGACAGTTCCTCAAATCCCTTCCCCTCCTACAGCTTCAGGGTTACATTGGCCAAAAGTCCCTCATTATACATCTGACAATGCTATGTTTGTTCCTGACATATGCTTTAATCGCCCGCAACAGCCCCACCATGCTCAGCATAATTCTGTTATTTCGAAACGGCGAAGGCAACAATAATCTGTTCTCTGAACACTAGCTGAATGTTAAAAAGATTGTTTTTTTATCTGTTAGAGATGGAGCGAGCTCTTGAAGTTCTATCCTTTAGAGCATTTGAAGTTCATTTTGCTACATGTTTCTATTCATGGCAGTCTCAGTATTTTTTTGGAGTAAATCTCTTAACTCCTTTTGTCATTGGGAATTTGACAAAGAAAGTAGGTGTAACGGCAATGTAAAAGGCTTCTCATTTGTTAGTTCTAGTCTTCTAGACTCCAACATTGTTATTTAGATGCATGTATTTGGTCATCAAAGAGATCATGTTCAATATAAGCTGGTTCTTGCAAGAGTTTTAGTTGCCTCTTTTCGATCTCAACATTGTTATTTTTACCAATGGTGGCAAGAAGAAATGACTGATATTTTAGACTTATTATATCTCCTTCACTTCTTCCATATCGAATGTTGTGTTAAAAAAGAAAAAGAAAGTGTGATTTTAATTTTTCAATGCAACATTATTAGCTTTTTTTTTTTTCCCTATTTATATTCTTAACAATATTTTTTAAAATGTCGATGTTGTGTTGTATGTTTGATTTTTTTTAACAATATTCTTAACAAGTTATAGAATATTTCGTTATAAAAAATTTAATTAATATATAAAATATTTTTATAATGATTATTCATTAATTTAAATTAATAAAATAAAGTATTAAATAGGTTTTAAAATTTATAGATGAATTTTTAATTAAAAATTATTGAAATATAATATGAAATAATTTATTTAGTAGAATAAATCTATTTAAATTAACTTTTAAAATAAGTAAATTTTTTAATGTAAATTTAATCAATCTATTTGATGATATTATTAATTAGATTAAATATATAAAATTATATATAATTATTAAATTATTTAAATTATTTTATATTATTTTAATGTATAAAATGATAGTTGAAATATATGTAAGTATTTTTTTATTAAATAATATATCTAGAAAGTATGTACTTTATGATATAAATTAATTTTGATAGAAATTATTTATTTGAAAAAGTTTCTTAATCATCAAAAGGTAAGACAGGTTCTACAGTTTCCTTTCCTAACACGTACAAGCTGTCTGGGTCATATTTAAGATTTTGAGGGACAGACAACAATGATACTTGAACAGAAAATTTCGATTAGTATTGAAAACTTTATGTAACAAAACATGTGAAATTGTTGAATCATGTCTGTACGAGATCACGTCCTCGATAAACACGTTCAAACACAAAATCTTCACTGGCGTCCCAAATAGTGGAGCCTAGTTTCCTGTAAAAGATAAGAGTTTTTTTTTTTTCTTGGAGTATCTAGGACCAATAACAGTGATTAATCTCCTTGTTAGGTTAGAGGAGTGAGATAGCTAGTCCCAAGATTTAACACGATTGCATACACAAGACAGGATTTGAATCTCTGACCTTATTTAAGTATATATCAACTCCGCTTGGGGTTTGTAGAAGATATGAGTTTAGTGAATATGTAGGGTGAGTATAAAAGATTTTCTCTTTTAATATAATAATTTTCTCTCTCTGTCCATAATATTTATTGAGTTTCTTTATTTTTTTATAAATTATCAAAATAAGTATTTTTAAACATCGAAATAATAAGAAATCATTCTTAATATGTCTTAATTATAAAATAATTAGTAAAAAACCAGCAATTTTATATGACAATTTATGGTAGTTAGGGTAATAATGTAAAAATATATTTATACTGTCAATCCATTCTAACTAGAGCTGTCAAAATGGATTATCCGGCCCGGCTCACCACGGGTTGGCCATTTAGTGGGCCAACCGAAAATTGAACCCGGTCCGGTCCACCACGGGTTGGTGGGTTAAACGGGTTGGCTCACCTTTAAAAAAATAAATTTTTTCATTTTTTTTTCTTAATATACAACTAAAACCCAAAAATTTAAACTTATTTTAAAAATATGAAATTCTTAATTAAGACATTCATAAATGAATCATTCATCCCAAACATTAAATGATAATTTTAAATACAATCAAATCAAATCTAAATAATCTCAAATAGATAAATATAATCCAAAATCATCTTAAACTTCAAATATAATCCAAAATCATCTTAAACTTCAAATACAATCCAAAATCATAAAAATTATAAATCACAATCCAACATTAAATCATTATTGTCTCATGTTAGGCTACATCATGGCCCAATAATTATTGTATTTTTTTTAAAAAAAATTTAATCACGGATTGGTGGGCCAGCCTGGCTCACCACGGGTTCAACCCGGGTGAGCCGGGTTCAAATTTGACCCGTATTGAAATTTTCAAATTTTTTTCAACTCAACCCAGCTCGAACCCGTGGTGAGCCGGGTGGCTCACCGGGCCAAGCTCATTTTGACAGCTCTAATTCTAACCCATTTTTCCTGGATTTAGTCCTTCTATATTTTTTATTGGGTAAAGCATTATTCAAATTTTTGAAAGTGCATGTTATTGACATTTTTCTCTTAAAAATATAAAAATTCAAACAAAATCTTAAAAAGTGTAAAATATTATTTATTTTAATCAAAAATTCAAAAGAAAATGTGACTTAGATAATAATATTAATATATATTTAAAACTAAAATGATAATAATTTTAAAGAATTAAATGAAACAATTAGAATTTTCGAAATATTTTTTTATTTTAATTTTCTTGCTTTTAAGAAAAAAATATCAACAAGAAATAATTTTTTAGAGATTCAAATAGTAATTATCTGTCATTCCTACTCATAGCATATTATTGTTTTTGTTTTATTTGGTGTTGATTACAAAAAGCTGGTTTCATTAATCATTATGCTAACTTGTTGAAAGACAATCAAGAAATTTAATAGTTTGTGGCCTACAAGATGGATATTCATATTATTTGAGATAAATATATGTCACTCTCTCAAGATGTGAAGCACACCTACTAATATTGATACCCTTCATATGTCTGTGTTTCCTTTTTAAATATTTGAAATTTGAAATATACTTTACTTTCTTTTGAACCATAAAAAAAAGGTATTAAGACTATGATGAAACCTTGTTATATAAAAGTTGCCATATTTTCTTACATAATCTTATTCGTATTAATACTCCGAAACCATAATAAAAAAAGGTCCGCATCTTTTTTTTATATATTCTTATTCGTGTATCATGTATGTAGTGTGACATTTATGAATGCTAGAAACATTCAACAACTTAGAAAACTGAAATCATTAATATTCTACATAGGATACAAAAAATAATATCGACATTCCCAAGGATCCTCGATCATGAATATATATGTTAATTCACATAGACACGTCACATTCGAAATGTGCACAAGTTAGTAATTAATATTTGTGCCCTGCATGTGTTTCTGCATTTCCCTGATCAGTACTTGAAATACGTTTTGAGATGAACCAAGAGAGAAAACATCTTCAACAGTATATATCAATACAAAGGAATCATATTATAGGAAAGGTTCATATATCGTTTTCAATATATTCTTATTTGTGTATCGTGTGACTGAGGGTGAAACACCAAGAGCACACTGTTAGGTGTTAACTATACTCTAGCTTATTGATTAGGCTATTAGTCATTTTGTGCTTTATGCTGAGCATAGGTGGGGCAGAAACTTGACTTAATAAGCAGTCAAACTTTCAATATATTTTGTGGTCCTATCAGCATCAGATTCTCATAAACTACATGTATCTTGCAGCAAATCTTGGCCTATACTTTGTACCATGACAAGTCTTTGTCTTACTGTATCAAGGTAAATTGAATATTATAATAGACAGTGACATTATTATTACACAGAATGACAGATAAAGTCCTTGACGAATTTCCTTTGTCACACTTTATTTTCCTTTCCTTTTTTCTTTATTTTTGAACACTATTTGTGGCCCTTCTATGTTTTGAACTCACATGATATTTGCTGATGTTTTAATTTTCTAATTGTTTTTGTCTGTTTGACTAAAGGGGTCGATGCCTCTTTGTACATATTTTATTTAAATCAAAAGTGAAAGTTAAATAAATAAGAGACAAGAAGTTTAAGATATGAGAAGTGGTGAATTATAGCATGTGAGAGTAAAATTTATTGTTGGTGAAAAACTGTTGATGGAAGTGAGTAAAAAGGTTACCAGAAGTGAAAAAAATAATATGAAGAATCGATGTTTTTTAATTTTTCATTAGCTTCCATTCATGTATATAAGTTTCTTTCGGGAACAATCACTTGTCCCATTAATGTATTTTTACTATTGGTCTAGAATGCTCACCATTATTTGCCTCACCACTGCAAAAAATTATTTTTTAAAAAAAGTTAATCATCCATACACTATTAGTGTAAAGTTTTTTACACTAGCGATCAATCATATCTTTTAAATTATTTTATTTTATTTTTATTTCATTAAATGAACAATTGACATAATATTATTAAAAGATATAATTAGTTGCCAGTATAAAAATTTTTTACACTAACAATGTATAAGTGATTATGTAACGAGCATAAGGCTAAGGAGGGGAACCATCCCTCAAAAGCCGGCCCAAGAGGTTGGAGAACCTCTCGCCTTATAAGGCCTCCTTGTAAGGAGACCTCCCCGATCGGCCTTTGCCGGTCAGAACCCTCCGATGGTCAGAACCCTCCATGGGTAGCCTTTCTCGATTTGGCTGACTCTCAATGAAAGCACCATTGTAACAACTAGAAAGGTATAGGTATCATAGTATTCGTACCTGTAGATGCTCGTACCCGGTAATATTCAATTTATTTGAACTTGTATGAATTTGATTTTATTTGAACTTATATGAATTTGATTTTATTTGAACTTTGTGTGGGCTTATAATAGTTAAGTATTGTACTTTATTATCTTTTATTTTGATTTATGTATAATCAAAATATTTTATTTTAACAATTATTGTTTAAACTTTAAACTTATGTGATTGAACATTTAATTTTTAGTTTTTAAATCCACTTATTGATATTAGTATAACTGTGAAGAATATTTGAATTTTAATTTTATAATCTTCAAATTTTTTATGCAAATTTTTATCTTTTAAAAGAAAAAAGATTGTTATAAATAACTAAAATGTAAATTTAAAATATTTTCTTAAATATTTTTAAGATATTTTTTTATTAAATATCCACGGGTTCTCGTGGATATCCATGGATATTGAAAAAACATGCGGCTACCTGCTCAACAGATACTTGCATGGATATGAGGATGAGTATGGGATAAATATTTATTCAACGGGGAGGGTAGCAAGGAGTTACTACCCATACCTACCCTGCCTCGTTGATAGGGACGTATCGATGACTATGTGTGTAGGGGCACTTGCCCCCACTAAAATTTTACTCTTTC